CATCTTTTTCTCCCACCCCAAACCTGCACACCACAGCACACAAGAATAGTTCTCCCTTTAGAAAAGAAGATCCTGGGCCTCCCTGGGGCACAGGGGTTTAAAGACACAGCACTATCAAGCTATCGACAGCCACTGTCTCTCCCGCTGCTCCCCTCAGCAGTGTATGTCAGTCAGTCTGCCTGTTCTGTTCCCCACTCTGTCTCTGGAGAATCCTCTCACCGCCCCCCACTCTCTGGCCTACACCCCAGTTCTTGTATGCATAAATAAATAAATCTTTAAAAAAAAACCTATAAAAAAAAAAGATCCTAGGTTTATGGATCTTATTGTTAACCAGCAGTGAACATAGCTTACATCTGGGATATCAGACCTGAGGGTGGGGAGAGGGGGCAGCTGCAGAGAAGACAGAAACCCAACAGGGACTCATCTAAGAAGAGGAATTATCTGATCCTCCTCTCTACTAATACCCAAATTGGGTCCTTTTAAATGGTGGGGAAAAAGATGGAAATCTTTTCAAAAAGAGTCCCAAAATGGAGCCTCCCTGGTGGCACAGGGGTCAAAGACAGAACTATCAAGCTATTGCCAGTCACTGCAGCACAAGTTCAATCCCCAGCCGGCCAGGGAGCAAACCACATGGCGCAGCAGAGCTCTCCTGTCTTGCCCACTCTTCCCTCAGCATGTATTTCAGTAGATCCTCCTGTTCTGCTCCCCACTCTTTCTGGTGAATCCTCACCCCTCCCCCACCACACACACCACTGGCTTATACCCCAGTAATTGTATTCATAAATAATTAAATCTTAAAAAAAAAAAAAAGTCCCAAACTATTTGAGTCTGGACATTAATTTCTAACACCAGATACTCCTGTGAGCAGGGGCCGCCCTGCGCCATATGGGGACAATGACAGATACTCCTGCTGCTGTCAGAGACAGGGATGCCCAGAGGACATAAGCCCTGGTCTGTAAACATGGAAAAGAACAGGCATAAAGCAATAAAACCCAGGAAGTAAAATCATAAACACAGAGTATGAGGACTAGGGAATGAACTCTGACCCAAGCCTAGGCTGACTAGCCTCATGCAACCTCCACCCACATTTCTGGAGACAGGACAGGCCCAGGTGATGTTAGAGTCCCTGTGATCACAGGCCCTACTGGGACAGGTGCTCCTGAAGGACAAGGACAAAGGAGCAGAGAGACGACCCCTGAGGAGTGACCACATCGAAGCCCATGATGCACTGAGCACCGACTGGACACAGGCCCCGTCCCCCTCGGCTCCTCACAGCCTCTCCCGCCCCCACCTGCACAGACTCAGCACAGCAAACCTGCAGCTGTGGCTGGTCCTCAGGACTCTTTATTTCCTCTCAAATCTTTCTAATTAGCCCATCAACCCCATGTGATAAGGTAAAAAAATAATTTCATATGTGGATGGTTATTCTCAGCAGGGAAGTAGACATTATTCTCAGGAAAACACAAAGTACAGGCAGAGGTAGAGTCAGCCCCTCTGCTGGAGCAGGAAAGTCACCAGGGAAAGACACAGGGCAGTGTGGGGAGGGTCATGGTGGGCGGGGCTGGGCCAGTCTCCGCACCTCCTCATGTTATGCTGATATGAGCACAGACACATGTAGATGCCCTTTGCAGCCAGAGATCCCAGAAGATCTGGTTTATATACATATATATATATACATATACTTTATATATATATATATATAAAGTAATGTTGGTTTACATCATTGTTGGAAGTGTTAGATGAGCCCCTTCAGGTGTTTTTAATACACCACACCCACCACCCAATCCCCATAATCCACCACTGTGCTCCTCCACACTTTGTTCTTGCTCTTCCCACTTCCCCTCTGGTAGCTGCAGTTCTAGTCAGATTTCAAGGGTTAGTTTTTCAGTTTGACTTTATCTGAGCTTTTGTTTGGTTTCTCTATATTCCGCATAGAAGTGACACAAGTAGTTTTTGTTTTTCTCCCTCAGACTTAGTTTGCTTAGCATAATCCCTTCCAGCTCCATGTTTGGCCTGAAGAAAATACACTGCTGAGGGGAGCAGCGGGCAAGACAGGAGAAGTCTGCTGTGCCATGTGGGTTGCTCCATTGCCGGCCAGAGATCAAATTTGTGCTGCAGAGGCTGTGGATTGCTTCATAGTGCGGTGCTTAACACCTTGTGCCACCATGGCACAAGGCCCTGAGTTTATCTTCTTTGAACACTGAGTAGTATTCCACAGTGTAGACAGACCATATCTCCTTGATATATTATCTGTTTTGGGGAATTTGAGTTGTTTCCACAAACTTGGCTACTGAAAATAGTGCTGCAATCAACATGGGAGTGCATGTCTCCCTCTAAATAGTCTTTTTATATTCTGGAAGTAGATGCTGAGGAGTAGAATTGCTGGATCACATGGCAGATCCATTTTTTTAATCTTTTTTTTTTAACCTTTTAAATTTAATTTTTTTCTTTACATAGAAGAACTGGGGTGTAGGTCAGAGGTGCAGGGGTGAGATGCTTCACCAGAGAGAGTGGGGAGCAGAACAGGTGGATCTACTGAAATACACTGCTGAGGGGAGCAGTGGGCTAGACAGGAGAGGTCTGCGCCATGTCGGTTATCCCCCTGGCCAGGGATTGAACTCAGGCCACAGCAGTGATAGCACCGAAACTTAACCCCTAGGTCAACAGGGAGGCCCCATTTTTAATATTTGAGAAACCGGCATTTCCTTTTCCATCGGAGCTGGACCAGTGTGCATTCCCACCAACAGCGTAGAACTTTCCCCCTTTTCTCCACATCCTGTTTCTGGTCTTTTTGTTATGGGCCATTCTCACAGGTATGAGGTTGTATCTCATTGTGGATTAACTAGGGGATACTGAAGTCACAAAATGGGGATCAGAAGAAATCTGCATCTCTTAGTCCATGCAAGGTAGCTATGTCACACTGTAAAGGAAAAATTATCAGGAACACATTCAGGTGACGCACAAAAGTGTTGACATTCTCAATAGTCCACCACATCCTCAGAAAGTTCCCCTCACAGCTTCCCCATAACCTGGCCCCATCCTCTTTGCCCCAGCCCCTCCCACTGCAGGCCTCCAGGGTCTCACCTATGCTATGAGGCACAACAGGGCCCTGGGCACTGTCATGCCTGAGGTATAACAAAACAGAACCAGGTCAGGTTCCACAGGAGATGAGAATGAAGGAGGAACTGACGGGTCAGCTTATACTGTGGGCTCCATCTACACTACCCCAAAGGTCTGAGTAATCATAAACCTGATCCATTTACCTCTAGTCTGGGAGTAGCTTCCTCCTTTCCAACCTGGGGGAATAAAATATCATGTGAGACCATGGAGGGGCCAGGCCTTGAAGTCTTAAAGGAATCCCCTAATCTAGACCACAGGGACATTTCCAGAACTGTGAATGAAGACCCAGGTCAGGACTGGGAAATATGACAAAAGGAGATCAAGGGAAACTGGGCTTACTGCCTCCTGGAGTCTGTCCCAGGCAGGAAACTTGCCCTCTGATATTTTCTGGGATTCAGGTCCCTATAACAAGAACTACCAATGAGAACAAGTTGATTCACTTTCACATGTGCTTTACAAAGACTAAGTGTTAGCAATCAGCTCCAGATTGGGTAACAGGTGTGCGGATGGTATTTCCATTAAACAGGCAGGGCAAGTTCTCCCTGGGACTTGAAAGCCCCCAGTGGACAAGATCCCCAACTCCATTCCCTACCTGAGTGCTTCTGCCTCCACATCACAGCTGCAGCCACTGCAGCTCCAGTGAGCACAGCTCCAAGGAGAACCAGGCCAGCAATGATGCCTGCAGTGGGGATGGAGGACTCAGGGGGCACGGGAAGGGAAGGAAGGGAAGGGAAGGGGAGACACTGAACTCCAGGCCTTAGTCTGACCCTTTGAAAGTCTCCAGAAGGGCTCCTGGTTCCCTTGAGAATAGGCTCTGTGCCCATGTCCCCCCTCTCACCCCATTTCAAGACTCGGGGGTCCAGCAGCCCCTCATGCTGCACATGACATGTGTATCTCTGCTCCTTCCAGAAGACACCTCCACAGCCGCCCACTCTGGAAGGTTCCCCTCCTGCTCCCCCTCAACCTGGCCCCAGGCCTGGTCTCCACCAGTTCTGTATCCTGGGCCAGGTCCTCCCCATCTCACATCAGGTTGATGTCCGCTGGGTAGAAGCCTAGGGACCAGCACCTCAGGGTGACTTCATGCTGAGAGATGGGGTGGTGGGTCACTTGTCCCCTTTGGGAGCCTGAGTGGGAAGAATCGTAAATTTCATGCTTTTTGTTTCCTCCATGGACACTGAAGCAGCCTCATGACCATCCTCAGAATGGACAGGAAAATATGCTTGGAGGGAGGAAGCAAATACCCCAGAAACCAGCCTGGTCTGGGAGTCCGGGAGAGCAGGTGGGAGCCCAGGGTGGGATGCAGGTCTCTATAAACATTTTGTTGCTGACTTGGGTGGAGGGCGATGACACAGACAGGCAGGAGTGAGATCTCCAAAAATGCTCTCTCACCAAAAAACAACATCTCCAGAGAGAAACTCATTGTTCCTACGATGGCTGCTGGTCAAAAGGACCCAGTGAAGGGTGATTTCAGGGGTGGTCTCCCCTCTTTCTCAGGAGAAACTGGATTCCTTAACTGTCCTTCAGAGAAAGTAGGAGCCTCCGGGCCAGTCTCCCTCCCAGAGCTGAAAAACGTGGCCGACAGCTCCCTCTCTGGCCAGAAGGGGGCGCTTCCTCACCATGATTCCATTTCCCTGCGGGGTGCGCGCCTCAGGGAGATCAAAGCCCCGCAGCCCTCTCACCTCTGAGCTGCGGCGCCTCCTTCCCCATCCCCAGGAGTCTGGGGGCCCCTCCCCGCACCCGCCCCCAGGCTGCTCCCGTCCTGCTCTGCCCGACCTTCCCCCTCCCCCTCGCGCCGGGGAGCTGAGCCGCGGGCCCGCCGGGTCCAGGCGCGCAGGTCCCCGCCCAGGGCGCGTCCCCGGCGCCGTCGTGGGGAGCTGGTCGTGCCCGCGGGGGAGGCGCCCTCGGGCCCCGCGGCGCAGCCCAGAGTCCTCTGGATCGTGGGAGACCCTGAGCCCCGGCCCTGAGGTCAGTCCCCTGGTCACCCCACCCGCACTCCTACCTCCAGCGCAGAATAAATGTAAACTTTAAATCTCGCGGGTGAAAGTCCCGCGGGCTCCTCCCTGGTCAAGGGGCCTGGCAAGGGCCACGGCCTCGGGGGTCACGGGGCCCCGAGACTCGGGGCGGGGGTTTGGGCGGGAGCGGTGACCCGCCCCGGCCCGCGCTGCTCCCCGGCCCGGCTCTGGCTGCGGCGGCCGCGCGGGGCCTCCAGGAGCGCTTGGAGCCTCCGCGCCGAGTGTCTGCGGAGCCGCGTCTCCTCGCCCGACCTCCCGCCCCGCCCGCCCGCCCAGGGGCCCGCGGCTCCGCGCTCTGGCCGGGGAGTCGCTGTCGAACCCCGAACTGCGTGTCGTCCACGTAGCCCCCCGCGATGCACCGGGGCTCCCCGAGGCCGGGCGGGACATCACCATTTCTAACACCCTCAGAGAGGGGGAGCCTGGGGGCGGGGAGGGGTGAAGCCGGGCGGACCCTCCTCCCGGGGCAGGTCCTGAGTCCCGGGGAGATGGGGCAGGGGAGAAAGTGTCCAGGAGGGAGGGAGCTCCAGAGACTGAACATGGGCAGCGGGTCCAGAAGGGGCAAGACTCAGGGGGACAAAACGAGGAGGCAGGGTGGGGGGACAGAAAGGGACCACGGGGGGCCACGGGGTGACAGAGGGGCCTAAGGCAGCAGCTTCCTCTGCAGAAGCCTTTTCCCTCCACCCTGCACTCAGCAGCCCAGGTGTCTGTCTGGGCCAGAGCCCTGGAGAGAAGCAGCAGGAGGAGGGTTGGGGGCCCCATGACCAGCACTGCTGGGGTCTGGGGAGCTTCTGACTCCAGGCTGGTGGGTGGAGACTTACCTGGGCAGGCAGTGATGCTGACTGGTTCTCTGGGAACCTCCAGGCACTGGGGACTGAGAACTGGGGAGGAGTCACAAGTGTCCAGGGCCCAGCACAGGTGGTGGAGACAGAAGGGAGGCTAAGGGGGCAGTGGGGTATCCCCAACAGTCACCTTCCTGCCCTAGACACAGCCCTGGGGCCTGGAACTATGAGAACCAGACTAGGGCCCTGGGGCTTTGCTCTGCCCCCTCCTCTCCTCACCCAGAGCTTCCTCACCCTGTCTCCATGACCCAAGCGCTGGGTCTGCGATTCTCAGTATTTTCCTTCCCGGATCCGTGTCCAGTCTGACAAATTAGGGAGGACGCCAAGTATAATCTTGTTTAGGAGGTATCGCTCCCCATATTTACCACCCTGGGAATAAAGCTGAGTTTGATTATGTAGTTGCTTCATTTAGAATAATAGTAATAATCCAATGCCTTTTGATAGATATTCAATAATCAATGCCTGTTAAATAACTTCTTTCTGAAAATAATCAGGGCAATGAGGAGAGTGGATCTTTCACGTGTTTTATGTTTGCAGTTGTCTTTCTTGTCTGTCTCATTGTTTTTCTTGTCTGTCTCATTAGAAGACAGGATTTTCATGTTTCCTTCTGCATTTAGCTCTGGTGCTGGTTGAAGTCTATGAAAAAAATGTCTACAGCCTCACACAAATATGTTGGAGTAGTGTTTTCACATTACTGTGAATATTCCACTTTGATACTAAATTAAATCTATACAGCTGGCATTTTCTCCCATGTTATTTGCAAAGTGAAACCTGAAACAATATCATTGAATATTTCTTATTCTGTTACATTTTCATAGTCCTCTCTTGCATAAAACTAACTGCAGTTATTTTTAATGTGTGATTTTTTAAAGTAATATATTGTTCCACAAGTTATAAAGCTCTTCAATGTTCATTACACTGGAATCAAATTATTTTAAAAAATTCATTTTATTTTCACCACAAATCCAAAAAGTAAAAGTAGTACTGGAAGTTGTCAAGTTAGTGATAGGACACAATTTTCCATGATTCTGGATTTTTCTGAGCACTTATATTTGGTCAAGCTGAAGTTACTGTCAGTCATCAATTGTCAGTTGATTTTCTCAAAGGAGCACACACTCCTTTTCAGGACAATGTCTGCTAATTAACCAAATCAAATAGCCACAGATTCTGTCATTCATTCCTTCATGTGAAGATGGTGTTGCCTACAAAAAAGAAAAATAGTCTAATTCATCTCATGCAAATATTTTTCTTGGCACATAATAGGTGGGAATGCAGCAGGAGTGTTCTGTGTGCACTTGCGTGTCATCGCATCAGGTGCTGTAAAATGTGGATTTGAGGATGATAGAATAGTGAAGATAATTTTTAATGCTTCAACCAAGAAACTTTGAAATGAAACCGGCTTGGAGTTGTGTTTCTGAGGTAAGTAGTTGTGAAGAATAACTGCAGCTAGTAATATAAGCTCCATTTTTAGTAAGTTTTACCTCAGCAGATGGCGAAATAGTGAAAAAGCCAATGGTGTCTAAGTGGCGTTTTGAAAATAGTTTTGACCTCGTGGCTCCTGTGACAGGCTCTGGGTGACTTCAAGGTTTCCACAATCACAGTTTGAGAAATGCTTTTCTCAGGGAACCAGGGAGCATCTCCCAAGTGTTCTCAGCCTTTGCCTCCTCTTCACTTCCCAGCATCCCTCTCCCTGCCTGGCTCCTGCCTCCCCAAGCTGCTTCCCCTGCAGATACAATGGGGAACAGAGAGAGGACCCTGGAGACTTGGAGCTTGCTCTGTCATGAGAGATGGACACTGAGTGAAGGTGACAAAAACACACATAAACCCGACCTGAGCCAAGGGCTGGGAGGAAGGAGCGTGATTATTATGAAAGTAGAGCAGTAGGAGCGCTTCTATTATTTTAAATAATATCAAAAGATGTAAAAAATATATTAAAAACAGGGCCTCCCTGGTGGCATAAGGTTTAAGTCTGAGTGCTATCACTGCTTAGATCTGAGTTTGATCCCTGGCCAGGGAGCAACCCACAGGGGGCAGCAGACCTCTCCTGTCTCACCCACCCCTCCCCTCAGCAGTGGATTTCAGTGGATCAGCCTGTTCTGCTCCCTACTCTGTGTCTGGTGAATCCTCTCACCCTCTGCACCTCTGGCCTATGCCCCAGTTCTTGTATGCATAAATAAATAAAAAATGAATCTTAAAAACAAACAAAAAAATTACAGGCAACATCAAGTACAAGATCCATCTCAGACCCAGCAAACAGCAGAGGCTGGGGACCCAGTGGTGGTGTAGGTGAAATAAGACACAATGGGGGATTCAGTCAGCTGGAGTCAGGCTTTGTCATCAAATGAGTTTGATGGCAAACTAGAGAGGGTCAGTCTACCATCCAGTGCTGCCAGACCAGGAAGTCTGGGTTGGTCTGCTGCCCCAGCCAGTAGTCAGGCACCACCTGGGAGACTCAAGGGATAGCTTTTACGTTTGGCTTAATCTAGCCCTTTGTTTAATTTCTCTATATTCATATCTAAGTGACATATTTGTCTTTCTCCTTTGGGCTTATTTCCATTAGCTCCATCCACGTTGCCCCAGATGGCATGAGTTTATGTTTCTTGATGAGTAGTATTCTATTATCTATGTACCACCTCTTCCACAGCTTGGCTACTGTAAATAGTGCTGCATGATCAAGGGGGTGCAGGTTTCCTTTGAAGTAGTGTAACATCCTCTGCGGGTTGTTGGGGCCTGCTGCCCTAAAGGGAGCCAGAGTCTCTGAGAGCACCTGCTTACTCTGCACAGGGATTTCCAGGGGAACTTGATGCCCAGCCAGATAAGACACTGGCAAGCAGTTAAGCTAAAGGGCCTCACACCGTGGGGCTGAAGCTAAAGGGACTCACACCGTGGTGCCAAAGATTCCTTGTGCCTCACACCGTGGGGCTGAAGATTTAACATCCCGTTGTTTTTTGTTCTTGGTCATAAAGAGAGAAAAAATTTCTCAAAAAGTACATTAGACAATAAATTATATGTATCAGCATACTGCAAGCAAATGGCATGGAAAATTATCTGCTTAGAAATTAGTTATTAAACAATTTGGCCCACTTGACAATGAGGACAATTTATTGTACATGCCTGCACAACAATTATTTTTTTGCTTTTTTACAAATTTCCTTTTTTAAAGACGTTTCTTAGGAAAGTTTTTAAATGAAGTTAACTGTGTTAAGGAGTTTCTAGGTAGAAAAAGTTCTGATAGATGAGAAGCAGCTGGTCTCCGGCTGAAGGCCATAAAAATAGAAGAGTCATTGGATGCTCAGGCTTTAGCTGATAGGAGTGTACTGGCGGCTATCCACTGTCTTAGGTAATGGTCAAGCTGAAATAATAAGTTTTAGTGTTAGGTTTGGTTTTTTATCTATTAACCTTGAAGGCTACCATCTAGGGGAGACCCGTAGGAGTCAGGAGTCCATGGGAATAAAATACACTAATTGTCTCTGCTTTGCACATGATGATGTAATTTCTCTGCTTGCTAAAAATGAATAAATAAAGACCTGCTGACTCTCTCTGCAGAAGATACTTACACCTCATCCAGTGTCAGTATCTCCTCACTACCTCATCCCCCTCCTCTTAGCTCTTAAGTTTTCTCATCAATTCAGGAACCCCTGACACGACATTTTGCCAAGGCTGGTCCCCGGCACTTCCCCAAATGAACTCCTGTTCCCTGAGGACATGCTGACTTGTGGCATGATCCCTACTAACTAGAAAAACTTGTTCCAGCAGTAACTTATTCATGTGTATAAGCATAAACACAATTACACACTATTTCCTTATCTCTTTGTTCATTTCTTTAATAAGAGCGTGGGCTGGAAGAGTGAGAGGCAGAGCTGGTCTAGAGGGTTCTCCCCAGCCTCCCCCTGCAGCTAATTCATTTAGACTCTGAGTCTTCCTTCATAGCTGAGAACTTCTCATGGGCTGTCTGAGACAGGGTAGATACCGTGGAATGGGACTGCTGGGTCCTACGGCAGATCCACAATTAATTTTCTAGGAAACCTGGATACTGTTTTCCATCATGGCTGAACCAGTCTACACTTCCCAAAACAGTGCAGGACTGTTCCCTTTTCTCCATGTCCTGCCAGCTGTTGTTATGTCTGGTCTTTTTGAGATGGGCCCTTCTCACAGGTGTAAAGTGGTTTCTGATTGTGTTTTGAATCAGGGGATCTTGAATGGATCCAGAAGATGGGGTACACTTCACTCCAGTGAGAATGCCCACATTAAAAAACCAGAAACAACAAATACTGGAGAGGACGTGGAGATAAAGGAAGCCTCTTGCACTGTTGGTGAGAATGTGAACTGGTCCAGCCACGGTGGAAGGCTGTGTGGAGATTCCTCAGAATACTGAAAATGGACCTACGATGATCCAGGGATTCCTCTCCTAGGAATCTACCCAAAGGACACAAAAACAGGGAAAATTTATTGTGCCCCAGGCAAAATTCACAGACCCAAGACAGGGACCCCTGTGTGGAGTCGCACACATTGCCAGGGGGAAGCAGACTTTTACAGGGTGAGGAGAGGTCAGGTGGGAGACTGGGTTTGTTATAGGACAGGGAGAGGGGCAGCCCAAACCCCGCAAACCTGCCTATTCTAAATGGGTTCTGCCATCCGCCGCATCAACACAAAACATAGGAGACTTTAATGGGAAGGAACTTTAATTAGGAAACAATACAGGTAAGGCAGAGTCTAGTTTCTAAATGAAGCACCCAAAGTTACCCATCCCCTCCTGGGTAAAAGTCCATCCAAATGGGATTGGCCCAGATCAAGGCCCCAAAGCCTGCCACAAGTCTAAAGCATCTTCCAGTGGGGACCCACAGAAAAGGGCCAGAAACAACCAGACAAGCCCGGAAGGAAAAGAGCAAAATCAACATCAAGATAAAAGCTGCCATTGTCACCTCCCCACAGGTCTCACCCACATCTGTGTCACCCAGTCCACGACCAAAAGACAAGCGCAGTTTCTTCACGTGTCTCTAGGCTCCATGCACCTCCTCCAGGTCTCCTGGCTCCATCCTGCTCCTTCCTTCCTCAGTCTCTTCTGCAGCTTCTCCTCTTCCTGCTCAGCTCCACCCTCCCTTGGGTGGGTCAGGGAACCTCCCCTTTTCCTGGGGACCACCCTGTTACAATCCCCCCTTTTAATTTTTATTCCACCATATCTATGGTGGCACAGATCTCATGGTGTAATCTTAGGAGACAGTCTTTTTTAAGGGTTACAATGTGTGTAAGAGAAGCAACAATTAGTCAGCAGCATTGTCCATAAATGTGCAGTATGACAGTTTCATTACTTACTTTTTGCTTTCCACAATGGACGAATACCTGGAGGGACTGGTTTTCTTTCACACTGGAACCTGGTTAAAAAATGTTCATCTGAGACTGCATCCCAACATCCATATATTCCCTCTTTTCATCACCATGGAAATGGTGGAAAAAAGTGAAAGGGGGGAATTGTTAGGGGGAAAAGGATGTCCTAAAGCAAATTCCATACAGGCTTTGTGGACTCCACCCCCACCCCAGGCCAAAGCCAAAGACACTGGGAACTCCAAATCCCATCACCACCAAAGGGAAGGTAGCTGGGACCTGAGGGTGGGGTTAAGCAGCCAGATTGATATAAAAGGCAGACACGTGGGCTTTGGGGGTCCCCAATTTTGGCTCTCCACCAGCTAGCAGCGTCCGGCCAGCTCTGAGAGTGACTTTGGGTTTCCAGGTCATCGGATCGGGTAGGACGCATTAAAGACTTTATTTCCCTATTTTCTCCCTGAGTTGTACATTTTCCTTATTTCCTTTTCCCTTGTAAATAAACCTTTTATTAACCTTTTGTGTGTGCCTGTAGTGTCCCTTTTAAGCGCGTGGGTGAGGACCCACAGCCAGGAACCCGTTCAATATCGGGGCTGCTCTATAACAGGTTTGCAAGGGCGGGAAAAGATTCTAGAGCAGGGAGGGGTTCATTGTCTGAATTTTCTAGGCAGGCTTCTGCATTCTTGCCCCAGGGGGCTTCCTGGTGGGCTTTTGCATTCTGGCCTCTTTCATGGACCTTTCAGGCTCCATTCTAAACTCACTCAATCTGAATTTGCCAGTGTGGGGAGCGGGGAGGAAGGACCGTGGCTCTGAGCTCCTGCCTTTTTACACTACTTTCCAGCAGGAAAACTTTTTAAACTACTTTTCTGCTGCCCAGCCACATGGAGAACCTCTGGACTAAACAGATGATTCGTAAGCACCCATCAAATTTGAAAGGTCTGGCGGGAACCAGAGTTACTAGGGTGAAAAGGCATCTGGTAGGAAGCCACCTAAGGCTGAGAATGAGGACCTGCTGATACCATCAGAAAACAACTGTTCCTTGTTACCTGCAAGCCCAGTTTCCCTCTCCCCATCCCATAAACACCTGCCTTCCCCTGACAATAGGCGCGGCTTCACCGGCCCCCACCTTGGGTCTGTGAAGTTTGCCCGGGGAACGCAACAAAGCCCCCCTTTAAACTTATTCTGTCGTCCTCGTCTTTCCCTCCTCATCTTCCCCTGACGAACCTTTCAAAATTAGAATATCCTCCTGGAAATTAAACTTTGACGTCAGAGACATGTCCTATTGTGTCAGTGGCACATGGGATTTTGCCTGATACGTTATATATGCTCCATAAATGCTTGCTGAGGTATGAATGGAACATTCTCTAGCTTTGCTCCTATTAAAAATGGTGATATTAAGTGCTCACTAAGCACTCCTTTTGGCTGCTCACTGTGCTGTTTTGTATGCGTGATGTTGCTGAGCTTGCACATAAACCCCAAAGGACACGGAAGACATTGGAAATGCAGAGAGGTTGGCACAAGGTCACCTAGATAATGATTGCACCTGGGCTCAACCCAACACTGATGCCTAAGCCTGTACTTGTTGGTAGAGATGTGATATTCTGATTTACAAACCCTTTGGCACACTGCTAGCCAGAGCCACCTTATCCAGAGAGAGCAGCAGTAATAATAACTATGATTCTATTGTGCCCTGGGAGCTCTGATTTGCTATGTGTGTGGAATGAACTCTCATAGTGCAGGTGGACATTATCCCCGTTTCGTCAGGTGGGAAACTAAGGCTCAGAACAGTCCAGGTAACTTATGTGGCATCATACCCTCCATCTGTCCCCACTTCTCTCCTTCCAGACATGGTTGCAGTTCTAGGGAGACCACTGGACTCCGTGTATTGAAGCTCCTCAGAGACCCGATGAGGAGGGATCCAGAGGGTGCCCAGATCTTACAGTAGGTAACAGCTCTGCCTGGAGCTTGGGGGCATACTCTGGGGATCCTGCTCGCTCAACTTTTGCTAATGGGTATGTGTGAAATATACAGTTGCCTGATGAGAAGCTCTACACCTCACATCTATGCAGTGTGTAAATTAATGTTACCTCAATTAAAAAAGAAGAGGAGGGCCTCCCCGGTGGCGCAGTGGTTGAGCGCTGGGTTGCCAAGCTGCCCACAGCCTCTGCAGCACCGATTTGATCCCTGGCTGCTCCCCGGCCACCGGAGGAGGGTCCCACATGGCGCGCAGACCTCTCCTGCTGCCCGCTGCTCCCCTCAGCTGTGTACTTGTCAGTCTGCCTGCTCTGCTCCCCGCTCTGGCTCTCACCCTCCCGTGCTTTTGACTGTACCCAGTGCTTGTATAAATAAATAAATAAATCTTTTTAAAAAAAGAGAGAAGAAGAAGAAGAAAAAGCTTCACCCAGCCTGCTCCCCAGTCAGGGCCCTTCACCTGATGAGGCCTAGGAAGACAGGACAGGACTGTGCTGTCCTTGGGAGCCCCCTGCACCTCCAAAGAGCCACTTCTCACCCAGCTTGACCTGAGCCCCTCCTCTCTCACCTGGAGACACACAGACTAGTCTCTCCTGCCACCTGGGAGCTGAACCAGGCCCTGGTCTGTTCACAGCCTGGCAGGGGCTCCCCATCCCCACAGTCACCCCCATCCTCACAGGGTGGCCCCTTCCCAGCCCTATGACACCCACTCCTGTGTCCCTCCCTTTCTTTCTGCTCTAGCTGATCCTCATCCCCTCTGCCCTTGCACCCCGGGCACCAGCCAGCCCCCCACAGGATGTTCCTTCCATGGGAACCTCACTCCCGAACATCCCCTTCCCAGGGCTTTGCTTCCATCCACCTTCTGCACTGACCCCCTTGATGGACACAGCTGCCCCCACACCCCCCTTTCTTGCTGCCCCACCTGCTCCCTGCCTGTCCCTCCTCTCAGCCCCTCTACAGGATGGGGTGGGTTTCTTGTCTTTATTATTCACTGTCTCCTGCATGAAAGCAGCTCTCTGAAGTTAGGGAATGTCTCTGTTTTGTACACAGCACCAAGCACATAACATACAAATATTGGTGGAGTTAAATGAATTAGTAACTGACAAGTGTTTCTTTTCTTTTTAATTTTTAATTTTTTTTATTTTTTACAACATTGTTCATTTTAAAAAAAATATTGCTCCCCCACCCTCAGGTGTAGTCCCCATAGAATTTCCTTCACCAATGTATCCGTCCACCATCACCACAGACCCCTGTGTTCCTCCCTTCCTCCCTCTGATCCCTTTCCCTCCTCCTCCCCTGCAGGATGTCTCTCATTTATAATTGTCTGTTTTTGCTTTATTGTTTCGTACTGTTATTATTGTTATTGTTTCTTCAGAGAAGTCTGAAGTTAACCTGATTGGTTTTCCCTTATAAGGTGTCTGTTTCTTCCCCTAAGTTAACTGACAAGTGTTTGATACAAATAAATCAAAAGTAAAAAATGAGGGGCTAGGTGTTTTCACATTTTTCATAGTTCACTTTTTGAAACATCATAACCCCTGACTGAGCAATGGTCATCCCTCCCCCTCTTGTTGCCGCTCAGAGACTGCTCTTAACTGTGTCATCACAATAGTTTTTGGAGAGCACCCCCATCTTTTATATCTATCTATCTATCTATCTATCTATCTATCTATCTATCTATCTACCACATCATTCTACATTTTTGTGGAATGTATGCTTTCTCCTCTTGTAACAGGGTAGTGCCCACGAAAAGGAGAAGTTCCAGGTTCCCTGCCCCACCCAAGGTAGGGTGGAGCTGAGCAGGGAGGAGCAGAAGCTGGAGGAGGAAACTGGAGAAGGAAGGAAGCAGGACAGAGAGCCAGAAGGAGACCTGGAAGAGGCACATGGAGCAGAGAGAACTGTGAAAAAACTGTGCTTGCCTTTTGGTCGTGGACTGGTTGACACAGATGTGGGTGACTCATGGGGAGGTGACAATGGTGTTTTTTGTCTTGATTTTGATTTTGCTCTTTTCCTTCCAGACTTGTTTGGTTGTTTCTGATCCTTTTCTGTGGGTCCCCACCAGAAGGTGCCTTAGATTTGGGGCAGGCTTTCAGGCCTTGCTCGAGGCCAATGCTGTTTGGGTGAACTTTTACCCACGAGGGGACGGGTAGCTTTAGGTGCTTGATTTAGAAACTATAGTCTTTGTCTTTTCTGTATTGTTTACTAATTGTATTAAAGTTCCTTTCCATTAAAGTCTTATATGTTTTGTGTTGATGAGGCAGATGGCGGAACCTATTTAGAGCAGGCAGGTTTGGGGGTTCTGGGGTGCCCCTCTCCCTGCCCTGTAACACTCTCAGGTGTAGTCCCCTTAAAATTCCCACCACCAGTTCACTCACGCACCATCAGCATTGTCCTTTGTGTTCTTCCCTCTTCTGTTTCGATCCCTCTCCCTCCCCTGGGAAGTACCCCAATTTTTCTAGAGCCAGGGTCCCCCCACATAGCCATCCTTCCTGAAGGAAGAGCTCCAGACCCCAGGGCCCTCCCTACTCGAAAACTATTTTGCCAGGCTAGAAAGGAACAAAGGGCACTCCAAGGACAAGTGGGTACAGGTTTCATTATTATCACACTAGTGGGCACCAGACAGGAGAGTCTCCCCCTAAGATCTGGGCCACCAACATACACAAAGATTTCCATTTATACTCAGGAATTTCAGCATTCGTTACGCTGATAAATTTGACAGATTTCATTTTTTTTGTAGTGCGCAGGCCATTTGGTAGAGCACAGGGCTGTTTAGACAAAGGCGGGGAGGGGTGGTTAGACAAGATCTGTGCTATGGGAGGGGGAAGGAGCCAGCCACTTGACTCCTTTCTTTTGGAATGAGGCCCTGTTAAGATAGAGACCAGGGCCTCCCTGGTGGTGCAGGCGGTTGAGCGCAGCGCTGTGAAGCTGTCCACAGCCTCTGCAGTGCCGGTTTGATCCCTGCCAGCCTTGGAGCAACCCACCTGGCGAGCAGACCTCTCCTGTCTCGCCCCCTGCTCCCCTCAGCAGTGTATCTCGTCAGTCTGCCTGTTCTGTTCCAGGCTGTCTCTGGTGAATCCTCTCACCCTCCCGCGCATCTGGCCTGTACCCCAGTTCTTGTATAAATAAAATAAAAATCTTTAAAAAAAAGAGTCAAGTCATAAATTGCTCAGAGGGGAACTGGCAAATGCTAAGATGGTAAACGTGCTAATTGTGCCAGGCGGGTGTGATGGGCCCTTTTACTGCATCAGTTGTTTCATTGCTTTCCCCTTCACCATCAGTTTCAACATTACTTCGGACAGTTTCCACTTCAACAGAACAGGGAGGGACACTGTAGGGTAAATGATTGTCAGGCTTTTCTGCTCTTCCGCCATTAGGACTGATGATGGATCCCTGTGGTCCTGAATGCATGTCTGATGGCGGGCACCTGAGAAGGGTGTGGGCATGCGCAGGTGGGTGCACCTGGGCTGAGACGGGGCTTGTAAGGGCGGTGTCGCAGAATGGAAAGCGACCAGAAGTGAGAGAACAAGACCATGAGAGAATGCTGGAGCACCCAGAAAGAGTGAAGATTCTTTTTCTTTTTTTTTTTTTTTTAAAGATTTATTTATTTATGCATACAAGAGCTGGGGTGAGGCCTGCGATGAGGAAAGGGGTGGGGGGTGAGAGGATCCACCAGAGTGGCAGATTGACTGAAATACACTGCTGTGGGGAGAAAAAAAAAAAAAAAGTGAAGATTCACCGGGAGCTATGAGGCCTGCCAGCCTCCTGGCCCCCAGGCACATGGCAGGCAGGGGTGTGCCCAATAAGAGCCTGAAAATCCCAATAAAAGCCTGAAAAAGCCACTGAGGGCTCGAGGACTCCTTCACACTTCTGCATGGGTTCATAGAGATCCTACTCTGAGCCATCATGCCCTTCGGTCATCACACTCACGTTTGGACCCCGGGGAGCAGCTGGAGGAGGAGCAGCAGGGAGGGGAGAAGACAGAGCTGGGACAAGGCTGATGCTATTGTCCCCAAGGAGCACAGAGCTGGGACAGGAGCAGGCGCCATCTCCTCAGGGCTGGGGAGAGACAGGGCAAGAGGCAGCCAGGCCCACACAGAGGAGCAGGGCAGCCAGGAGCTCTGGGCTCAGGGGGGATGTAAAGCAACCAACCCATTCTGAGCAGGTTTATGAACGGTTCTAGCAGCCACATGCTCTTCGCCGTGGTTTGTAGTCGCTCCAACACTCCTCTGTACACTCCACTCCTCCACCCTTAACACCGCACTACCACCACACCACACTCTGCTGCACCACCCTTATATTATCAGTCTTTTAGCGCAGGTGTACCCACTTCAGGTGCCCGCCATCAGGCATGCACCCAGGATCACAGGGCTCCCTCATCTATCCTGATGGCGGGAGGGCAGAAAAGCCTGATATTTTCTTTACCCTACAGTCCACCCCCTCAGGGTTTTCTGCCATATAGTCTACGTATGTACAATTTTTTTAAGCAAACATAAACAGTGCAGCCCTGGACCACAAAAGCAAATACATCACAAAATGACTAAACTTAATTTTCCTAGGGGCGGAAGGACAGAGAAGTTACCGGTACCAGCAATGGGAGATCCCTCCCATCGGGCAATATACATGCCAATTTGGCATCCGAAAGACAATATTGTTGCTGGCATCAGCGGCCTTCCAGGGCGTGAATACCACACTTGCTTTGCCAGTGAAGAGGCATCAGTGGGTTCTACATGCAGCAGGAGTGGAGAGCTCGTAATGGGCCACAGAGTTATTACAAATGTCCCCTTGAGGATTGCCCGCTGATCTGTCACCCCAGGGTGGGTAACACGCACCCATGGTGGCCACTGCGCACTCACCCATGGTTTTATCTGTAAATTGGCCTCCAGGCCACGACCCCAAGGGGCTATCAGAGCCACCCACTGCATGTGGGGGAGCCTTCACTGTCCAGGGCCATTCCCAGTCCACAGTCTGCCCTGGGTCCACTCCAGTTGGGGCTGGCTATAGGATGTTGCCCTGCTGTCCAAGTCCCGGTTTTAATAAGATGTCTGACGTCTTTATTTGTAATTGGATGGGAGCAGCGGCACGATGCAGCAATGCCTCCACTGGAGCCAGGCCGCCTCTCCTGCTCCTCTCATTCAATGTCTGCAACACCTCCCATAGACGTCGGCTCCACCCGGCCAGCGTCTGAGTGGGGGCAGTGGCTCTTAGTCCTTGCTTCAGTAGGCCATTATACCTCTCTATAATCCCTGCAGCTTTGGGATTATAGGGAGTGTGAAACTTCCATTCAACACCCATGTTCTTGGCCCACTGCTGCACCCGGGCTCCTGTAAAATGAGTCCCTTGATCGCTCTCCACTACCAGCGGACGTCCATATGCAGCACATAGGCGTGCCAGTGCTGCCAAAACTGCCTTTTGGTCCGCATGTGGAGCAGGGTAAGCTGCCAATAACCCGGTAGCAGTGTCCACACAGGTGACAGCATATTGTTGTCCATCGGAGCGAGGTAGTGGTCCAATGATGTCAATCGGCCAGCGTGTCAGGGGTACCTGCCCCCGCAACACCTGGCCTGTAGATGCAAAAGGTCTCCGGGGGTAAGTACTAGAACATACTACACATGTTTCACATGCAGTCTGGATTTCTTTTAAAGTTACAGGTAGACCTCAGGCACGTACAGTGGCCCACATTGTCTTCTGCCCTGCGTGGAGCAAGCGTCTGTGTAGCCACTGCGCAACATCCCGCCCTGGAGCAGTTTCAAGCCATCGAACCCGGGCTAGGGTATCTGCTTCATCGTTGCCTGGTGAGGCTAATGGGGCATGTCCTGTGACATGATAAACAGTCACCTGCTTCTGATGCCCCAGATCCCATAGATCTTTCCATAGGGCCTGGCCCCACATTGGCCGATGCATAACTGTCCAGTCATTTAAATTCCATGTGGAAATCCACAGTGTCAGACCCCTGTACACAGCCCAACTGTCAGTACAGATTACTAGAGGGGAAGGCTCATGGGCCACCACCATCCATACTGCTCGCAGTTCAGCCCATTGGCTGCTCTGTCCCATCCCGGTTTCGAACCAAATAGTGTCTGTTTCTGGGTGTACAGCCACCGCTGTCCAAGAGGCTGGCTGGCTCTGGCTGGAGCCATCTGTATACCAGGCCTCTGCTGGAATCGGTGCTCGACCCTCCTTGTAGGGACTAGCTTCAGGTTTGGCTTCTATACAGGCTTCTGAATTTGGTTCCATACTAGTATATGTCACAGGCCCAAGAACCTCCTGCAACTCCACCCTTAAGGGGCTAGTTGACAGGGTGCAGCGCTGTTCTAAGTATGCCCCCCACTTCGCCAAAGTGGGCGTTTGAGCAGTGCCACTATGGGGCTTTGTTGTCCAGTCCCGTACCCATCCAGCTATTGGGTAAGTGGTTCTCACTGAGACAGGGGCTGTGGCAGTTATACTTTCAGTGGCTAGTAAGGCTGCATATACCGCAGCTAACTGTTTCTCAATTAAAGAATACCTAACCTCAGCCCCCTTCCAGAGTTGGGACCAGAACCCAATAGGCTGTCGTAGCCTCTCTGATTTCTGCCAGAGTCCCCACCCAAACCCTTCCTGAGTAACATGCACATCGAGCTCACAGGGTCGGGCTGGGTCAAAAACCTGCAAGGCCTGAGCAGTCTTTATAGTTCGTTTGGCCGTGTCAAATGCTGTGTCTGCCTCAGCTGACCAATCCCACCTGGCTCCCTTACGTATTAACATATACAAGGGTCGTAAGAGCTGGGCCATGTGAGGTATAAATGCCCTCCAGTAACCCAGCAGACCCAGAAAGGCTTGCAGCTGCTTCACTGTGGTTGGAGTGGGGTAAGCTTACCCGACCAAACAACTCCCAGGAACTTAACTGACAGTCCAGGCCCCTGCAGTTTGCTTTCGTTGATCACCCAGCCGCATGTTTTCAGGTGTGTTAATAAGAGAGGTACTGCCTTTTCCAGATCTGTAAGAGAGTCACTTGTCAATAAAATATCATCAATATAATGGTATAAACGCACTGAAGATGGCCTTTCCCACCGGGCCAAATCTGCTGCCACCAGCCCGTGACACAGAGTTGGGCTGTGCAGGTATCCCTGTGGCAGCACAGTGAATGTCCACTGCCGGCCTTCCCAGGTGAAGGCGAATTGGTCTTGACTTCCTGGGGCTATATCT